GTCCGGAATTGTGTCCCATTTCACCACTCGTGTTTTCTAATAAAGCCTGGAAAGTATGCAATATCCCCTGCACGTTGATTCTTATTGTTAGAGTCGTATTTTTGCCTGCAAGATCGCTACTGTGCATTCAGTTAATGTTCAAGATCAAATTTTGTGTCTACGACATTTTTGTTGAATTCAAGCGAGAATTTCAAATTTTTCGAATTTCGTCGTGGAGGTCAAATGGAGGTATTGGAAAGGTATTGAATTTCTCGGAAATGTACAAAAAAAAGTATCGTAAAAGAGCTGATTTTTGGGCAGCCTGTTTTAGTAGACACCCTGCTTTATGGAGCTCAGAGACCATACATCTTAGAGACCTTGAAGCAACAATCAGAGCTTTTGATCGGGTTAGACGAAAGTTTGACTTAGATGTCAACGGTATTTTTCGCCTGATGTTGGTTGATGAGCAACGTTAGGCGAAAGTTTAATTCAGGTGTCAACGCTATTTTTCGCCTGGAAATATTTAACGTAATGTCATATCTACTGCGTATCTCGAGGAAGAATTGCGTCGAGTGAACAATATCATGCGTGTTCGCCTCGTCATTCAACCACTTGAACGCTGCCTCGCAATTTCCGATTTTGAATTTCCTTGTTGAAGCAGCTCTGGCTCCAAACGAGATTTCCGCCTTGTTTCCCAAGCTCCGTCGCTTGACAGCATGTCCTCTTCGCGCCACGTTATCACAGATTTGAAACACTTAAAATATTTCTAAAATGAGTCAGCATAGATAAACACTTAATGTGCCTCGCTTATCTTCGGTTCTAATAGAGAAGCAGCGACGAATAGTTAGACCAAAGCATCGTTAGAATTTGTCGTTTCCTACACGAAGGAACGTAACGCCATTCTATGGCTGTAAAACTCGTCGTTTTCTAGACGGAGGTTTGAATTCCATTCCAATGTTGGATTGACTCAATCACTTTAATTTCTTACAACAGGATGAGTGCATAATGTCTTCCCAAAATTTTATAGATTTCCGCATGCAATGAGATAAAAACTTAGTGAAATTTTGTGTCAGGAATGTTCACAATGGAGATGTTGCATGTGTGAGGAATTTGCGATCTGATTGTTAATTCTTTTGTAAAAGTTCGCGAGAAACACGATGGTGCCACTGATTTTCTCTGAAATCATCACCCAAGCTCAAAAAAAGCTCTCAAGTTAAGGCCAAAATGGATGGGTATCCCACACTATCCTGAGAGTCCCCCTCTACATCATGACAAACTCTCCATGCAAACCCTGGTAAAACTTGGCAGTAGAATGTGTGTTCCAAAATGCTATAGACCTAAAGCCGGCTGTAAGATTTCCTATAGCTACTGTAGCCGGCTGTACAATTTCTTATAGCCTTTCATAGCCGATGGTGATTAAGCAACAGCCATACGATAAAGTTTATGCTAAACGTTACTAAATATGGATACTAGGACTTAGTTAGTCTTTGGACTACCGCTCTCTTTTTGTGCCGTAGTATCTTGATTTATTTTGCGAGGAAAGCTCCGTACTTTTGAGGGATGCCTGTCATTCTTAATATGTTGCAGCGCCTTCATTTTCTTTTGATATTGTGCAATACCTCTGGTGTGAAATAGTTGCTTCAGACGCCGTGGCCCGCTGCGGCGCAGCGGGCGGGCAGAGAGCGCGAAACGCGCATTGAAGCCTACAAACCTAACAGGGATACTTCACGCATTGCGCAATGCGTAAAGTATCCCTGTTAGGTTCGTAGGCGTCAATGTGCGTTCGCGCAATGCGTGAAGTATCCCTAGTAGGTTTGTAGGCGCCAGTGCGTCGCCGCTCCGCTTGTGTTCGGCTCTAATATTTAATCTCGCGTTTTTCAACTCATGATTTTGAAATGTTTGCACACTCTGTTTGGATTTTTCTCATTTTAATCGATGACAAAAAATATGTTTTAAAGGAAAATATAATGTGTTTTGTAAATATTAAGGTAGTTCCGTATCGAACTTAATGATTTCCAAAGCACACGAATTTCCACACAATTTCCTATAGCCTTTTACAGCCAATGGGGATAAAGTGTAAAGCCCGGCGATATGAACTATAGCCCGACTGTATACTTTTTTATAGCTTCGTATAGCCCGGCCATATGATTTGCTTCGCTTTCTACAGCCAGCTATACGATTTTCAATAGCCTTCTTTAGTCGGCTACAAGAACTCCCATGGTATTTTGAAACGCAGCTCCTATTGCCAATTTTTACCAGGGAAGACAGGGAGCAAATACATTAGCAGTGATGCCGTGTTTTCAGTTTTAGAGTCCCCAAATAAAGTGGCAGCCCTGTCAATGTATTTGCTCCCTATCTTTGCATGGAGAGTTCGTCTTGGTGTAGAGGTGGACTCTCAGGATAGCGTGGTATATCCCCTCCATTTTGGCCTCAACTTGAGCTTCTTTTGAGCTTGGGAGTTGATTTCAGAAAAAACCAGTGGCACCATCGTGTTTCTTGCAAACTTTTACACAAGAATCAACAGTCAAATCGCAAATTCCTCACACATGCAACATCTCCATTGACTTTGTGACGAAATAGACAAAACGATTCGGAACTTCAGTCAAAAATTTCATGTTGAAGCTCTTCTGTTAGTCGGTTCGACTGTGCGTCGGCGCGGATTCCTCCGCATAATTTCACCGTAAGGATCGACGTGAAACGGGCGAATTTTTCTCAACGGCTCGACCAGGGACCAGTTCTATAGGACCCTGGACTCCCGTAAGAGTCAATGTAAAAATTCGTGAGCAGGTACTAGTGCTGCATTCTCGCGTAGGATCCTCGCAACTCACTGCTGTTATCAGTTGTTTTATCAGTTGTTGGACTTCATTAAAATCCGTAGGATCGCGTATAACTGCAAAAAATCGAATTTTTCACCGTATTATTACATGCGGCGGGCCCTTCCTTGCCGAAAGGGGTCGAAAAACGCCAAAAATATACTTATTTTTCAAGAATTCAGCCGCCTTATGTGTTATTTTTCAATCTCCAGCTTAACCTCACTTTTGGAGCGGGCGATGGATGAGTCGAGGTTCGGGGGAAGGATCCTCTGAGTTGACTAGGATCCTACGCGAGAATGCGCTGCAATCACCCGCTCACAACAGAACGGCGTCCTATAGAACTCGTCCCTGGCTCGACGCAAACGCAAGGCACAACCGGTTGCGCTCGGTGCGATGCGATGCTTTCGATCAGCTCTTTCCGCCCGAGTCCACGCCAGCGAGGACCCCGCGACTCGAGTCAAGAGCGAATCCCGCGTCCAATAAAAATGATAACCGGTTGTCGACCGGCCCGGTCGCGCCGCGGGTAATCGCCTCTATGTCATCATTTCCGAGCCATCTGGCAACTCTGTGAGCCTACTCCCGTCACAAGCCATACTACAGCATGTGGAGGATCCACAAAGTGAGAAAAGTGACCGATGTAGACGCATTCAGTGATGACGTCACGGAGCGATATCGTTGGTTCGATATCTCGAAAGTCGAAATGTGCCCCAGCAAACAAACATAACCTCCAAAATGAACAATTGACGGAATAATGCTAAAACTAGCCCGAAACTAAACAATTATTCCATGGGACTTTAAAATTATGAAAGCTAGTCATTTACAAAAACGTTCGAGATCACAATTACCTTGATTTGATCGCACGGATGAGGACATTACAGGATGTCAACAATTCCGGAAATAGTACTGATTTTTAAGGGCGGTCCGGAAGCACTGAAGAAGTGCGGAAATTCCGCCAGTAGGTCCGGAATTTGGGACATTTTTGTCGCAATTTGAGCGAGAAATTCAAATTTTTGAAATTTTTCGAATCTCGTCAAATGAAGGTACTGCAAAAGAACTGAATTTTTCTGTTGAGGAGGTACTGAATTTCTTGGGAATGTACTGAAAAAGTACTGTAAAAGTACTGATTTTTGGCCTGCCTATTCAAGAAGACACCCTGGTGACCGATTGAAGCACTTAAGATACATACATCCTACGCCTGTGTGCAACTTTCATGTCTAAGAGATGCCTTTGTACTCGTAGCGTAAACTAGGAATTGAGGACGCTCTGTCTTTTTGGATCCTCGCAATACTGCCTGCTATCGCGAGTGAACTGGCGAGTGCTCGGAAAGTCAAAACGCCTTCAACTCCGTGGGTGTGCAACACGGACTTCCGTCAAGCTCGAATAGTTGCATCCAGGCGTCAAGTTTAGTTTGACTCCGTCGCGTGGGACACGATCTTATGGCTCTTTCTCGTTTTTCTCAAATCTTAACTTAAATTTAGCGCTGTCTATTTTGCCGGTGCGGTAAACTCTTACTAATATTTTTCGCGAAATTTTCCATTTTCCGAAAAATGCATCGTTTGGATTTTCTTACTTCATTTCTTTGGCAATAAACTTCAAACATCTAAGCGTGAACGCGAATGCGGCAGAGTCGTTTCATGTACCTACATTTCAGGAACATTTTTGAACGTGCATCGCAACTTATTCGTCTTCGCGGAGGAGAAAAACTATAATCGAAGCGAGAAAGTAATAAGTCCAGTCAGAAACATACTTGAACTTGCGGTCAGTTCAGGACTCGGTGAGGCGGGGCTCAAAGTTGGTGAAAAAAATATCTTACGTCACTGATTGCTGCAGAATTATGGAATTGGAGCATCAGCCGACCACGTTGAGAAAAAATGAATAGGAACCAGGGCTGAAGTTCCTCGCATAAAATCCTCGATAGGGCGTCGGTAAAAATCGTTTACGTGTTTCCTCTGAAGTTTTCCTTTACCCTCATTTACGCTTTAAACAACACTTGCTCAAACATATTCACTAAATTGTTGAAATCGTTCGTCTTTCGGAGGAGACTGTTCAAGATTGTGTTTTTAAGAGTCCGGACTCTAGGTACAATTAATGTGTTTTTTTTCCAGTTAGTATTTATCTGTATATTTTAGGATATTTCTAAGCGTTACATTGAATGATGTTGGATTTGAGTCGGTAGTGATGCTTTGAATTTGTGTTGACATGTTGCAGGGGCAGCGTAGGGGAGAGTAGCCGGTATGTAGTTGAGATGCGTCATGCGTAGTGGCACTGTCTGTGCTCGTGTAGAATCTTGCTTGCCCTCGTCACTGACAGCGCCCAGTCAAAGATTCGCATCAGTACAGCTTCTCAACAGCCATACGCTTTATTTCGCCGTCGAGGTAAGTTCTTCTTTTTCCTTTTACCCCCCCCCCTCATCTGCTCCTCTTGTGCATTCATACATCAATGCATTCTACTAATTTTACCGAAATTCTGGTTTCACCATACATTTTTGGCAAAAAACGGATGCCGCACGACGGACTAAATTTTGAAACTTAAAAGCGCTTAACTCCGTTTATGCAAAACTTTGAGGTTTTAAAAGTGGTTCCATGAAGTTTCCTTGTGGACTTTCCTATTCGGAGCACCCCTTAAAATTTAAAATGTGACAGAATAGACATCAAAATTTGCAGTTTTAGTAAAGAATATCATGTCCGACCTCTCAAATTAACTCGATCCACTATGGTCCATAAGCCTTGAAGCACCATTCTTAGCCGAAAGTGCATAGCCACATTTCGACTGCGCCTAGCAGAAAGGAACCAAGTCACATCCGCTGTTGCCAAATTTAACCGAACAATTTAATTTTTTACAATAGGTTTGTCCCGATTTTTGTGAAAATTTTAAGGATTTGCTTCGTACTGTGTAAAAAATTCAGTCTTTGCAAAAAAAAGAAGAAGAAAAAAAAAATCCGTTCAAACGTTCTATTGTAAAAAATTCAGTTGCCCAACTTTTGGCGGTAGCTGATGTAGCTTGGTTCCCCTCTGCTTAGCGCGGTCCATTTCATCGTCGCAGAATTCAAACTCGCAAATTGTGTTTTTGCTAGAAATGTGTTTGACTTTTCCACGCGCGTACAACTCAGTAAAATTTTAGACGGAAATTTCACAGTCATAATCGTACAATAAATTGAATTGTTTAGTTTTGTAACCTTAGAGTTCAGCTACGTCCCTACTGACGATTTTAGCAAGTTTGCACCACTGCCAATACTCCATTCTAATCCATTGAATATATCGATTCTAAATAAGACGGGCTGCCTAACCCAAAATCGATTGTTTAATATATATTTAAGTGGAGGATAAACAGTGTTGCCAGCTTTCAAGAGTCGCCACTCAGCGTTCCTTCGTCTGGGAAACGACGACTATACTCGTATTGAACGAAAATGAAGACAATAGGGAATTCGCCAGTTCTGTAGTGCCAAGGTAAAACGCCGTATGAGCCTTCAGACGTTGCCAAGCTTCCTGCGATGCAAAACAAATTTACTGGGAAAATTGCGAACATCATTTTCCTAAATTTTCGGACGATTTTGTACTCAATTTAATCTAAAGTATCTGAAAACTTCAAGGAAAAATATGCATAAACGTTGTCAAAAATGCATGTTTTATTAAGGGAAATTTGGAAACTCTTGAAAGTTCATACGGCGTTCTTCCTCAGCACGGCAGAGTTGTCGGTGATTTTTGGCGAGCGGTTCGGCAACCCTGGCGGAAGATTGGACGGACCTGCCACGGGCGGACATGCCGAGCATTCCTGGTCCTGGATCCGACGATGTTACGCTGGATGTCAGGACTGGATTTTTTTGTCGAAAATCGAGCAGTAATGAGCGCTCTTTTCTTTCGTCTCCGAATTCCTCCTCTAAGGGGCGACGTTGCCACTTCTTCTCTCAGGAAATCGGTTCTTTCCTACGCGCTTTCAAGGAAAGAAATAAAGGTGAAGATTTTATTTATATAGTCGCTCCTTTCTTCCAGAAGACCTCGTATGATTTACATGTTTACTTGATGAAGATTTTATAAAAATTCAGGGTGTCTATCTTCAGTAAAAACCCATAAAATCAGGAAATGTGACGGCACCGGGAAAAATCAGAAAATATCACGGAAATCGGTCATGGGCTAGGAAATTCTGTGTGCTTCAAGCACATTTCAAACATTTAATTCAATTTCTCAAACATATTAGTTTGTGAAATCAAACCGTTGTCGATGTATTCGCGCGAAAAATCAGGAAATTTCATCGAAACCATCAGGGAGAAGGAGTAATATCCAAAATGTGCTGGTAGGCACCCAGATGGCCCATTTCTTGCCTGTTCAAGGGTCCATTTCACGACCTTCACCGATCCACTCGGAGCCTCATTCGAAAACTACAGTCCAGGAATGGGGTGCCTTGATCATAGGTACACGCCGGGGTATCCTTGGTGTGGTGGGGGTGGTGGCAGGTAC